AAGCACAATATACAAGCATTTATCTCGTGGTGTTTTATAATAGCATTTCCTGAAAGGAAGATGGACTCATCCAAGATGATTTTTTGTCCTGACTTTTTTCCTTCAAACGCTTTGAAGATTAAAATCGATTTTTGCACTGTTACCGTCTAGAACCTTGGAGTGTCTCGCCACTCCACACAGTTCTCGCTTCATTCTCAAATGCGATGTTCTAATCACTCGAATAATTCAAGCAATCGAGTAATTATCATTCAGATATTACACTTACGGCGTCCGGATGGATATCAACGCTGCGATCGTGAGCAACCATTCATAGTAGTTGCATCTTAGACGGATTGATGAACTTTCCGATTCATATGAGTTCGCATCTTAGCAAATCGGCCAATTACTTATGGGAAAGTGATAAGTGGTTTGTGAAGATTGATTGGGGAGCGGGTTTTTTTTGTTCATTTTTTGTGGATTTGTTTTTTTCATGTAGCTTGTGAAAGCGGTTGGTCATAGGTTAGCGGGGCTGGAATTTGTGATTGTGAGGGGGATATTTTTGGAGGATGTTGTGAGGCATCATTGATGAAGTGTCGAGACGGTTAGAGGGAGCGGCTGCGATGCTAAATTTATCTGTTATCTTTTCGTTCATCGTCTCAAGGATTTAACGTTCGTTGTTGTTTTTTGTTTACTCTTGCACGCACTTCATTGTGATTGCGACGATTCGATCACTTTAATGAATTCCAAACTAGAATTATCGCCAACTAGAATTCTAAGTGGTGTTCAGGTCGAGATTTATTTGTAAATCCATTTCAGCTTATGCTCACTTGCTGTCCAGCTTAATGAGCACGCAAATATCAAATGCGGCCTTAACCGATATTGCGGGTACATCTTATTGTTAGTGTAGCGATGAGCACGTTGTTGCCTCATGAATCAAGTCATATTGCAATTAGCAACGTTGTCATTTCGAATGAAGTGCCATTTCGAGTCTAATTCACGATAAAGTGCAGTTGCACTACACAAAAAACTGCCGTGTAAATCAATTAATTATGCAATTGTCTAGTGGAATGTAGTTGTTGTTGTATTGCCGTGCTTACGTTTGTTGCTCCGTTTCAGTTGCACAGTTCCACTGATCAATACTGATGATGAAATTTGAACGAACTAAAATTGGTACTTCGAGAAACGCACAAGTTTATGGTTTTTTTCTGGAATTTTAAAACTGGAATCGCATTGNTGGCCAAAACTTTATTCTAATCATTTGAATTTACGTTGTGAAACTAAAAAAACTGGTATCTAGTTTGTAGAAAGAGCTCTTTGAAACTTCTTGGACTACATTTTAGTTTTTTGTTAAGTTACGACGTCAGTGAATTTCATCTGGAAAAACCGTTATAGCAATGCGCGAGCACAGTTCCGTGCATGTGTCATCCATATATTCCATGTCAGTGTTTTATTGATTTTTAAACCCATTATCGTTATCTTATTACAATGAATATATGCGCTATTTGGTGACATCTCGCTATTCGTCTGTGTACTTCGATGTGATGATGATGCAAATAAATGTGAATCATCGCTATAGGTAAAGCCAAAAAAAGCGAATATTTTTTCAAACGGTGCGGATCAGAATGGCTGATAAGGGTAATGCGGTTGGACCTCAACACCATATTCCTCCACCGAAAACACAAGGTGCTGCCACTGGTGGACAACAACTGTCGGCAACGGCCGGACAGTTCGTCGACAAAATTGATCCGTTCTCGAAAAGGTGATGAATTCTTCAACGAGTTTGTCAGCCGTCATCATTATCAGTTGTGAAGAAATAATTTCAAATTTCACCATAAATATGACGGTTTCATTGAGTGAACTTCAATTTTTGTTCAAATAATGAGTGTTTAGTGGTGGAAATATTATTGTTATTATCTTGTATTGGTTAGTATCAAAGCAATTCGTTTGTAAATGTGAATAATTTCAGAGGCACGAGTAAGCGACGTCGCAGATTAGTGAATAGCAGTAGGTATCATCCAGAAAATGAACCTGAATTAGTGCAGCTTCCACTCATTAAAGGTTAGTCTTTGAATTGATCGAATTCAAAAGTGCAGCTTTCAAGAGCCGAATGGAAAATTTTCATATTCATTCGNTATTGTAAACGAATACTTGTTTCTAGAAGTTTGTTGCGATGAGATCGCATTAAAGTAGCGTTTGCTGATCATGGGAACTTCATCGAAGCTTGCATGTGTTCTTCTAAAGAATCTCTTTCCTTTGTTATAGAGACTGATTATGAGAACCTAGTCGAACAGTTATTTAACAGAGTTTATTCCCGATTGTGCTTCCTGAAAGCCATTACTGGCAGGCAAGGATCTGTCACTTTTCTTTGATGTTGCTCATTTACATTTGTATCCTTATTTGAGAATATCGCTTATTTTACCGATTCCACTGCCTTATTATTTCAAGTGCAGTCAATTCCACTATCTATTTTAAATGAATTGTTGTGATTTGACAATATTCTATGGGTATTAATAGTCAATTATCTACGCTGAGTTTTAAATTTGAAATAGCTGCTATCACTAGTTATTTCAAATTAACTTTAATCATTTCGTTTCTCTTCTTGCAGATACACCTTTCGCAGATCAACCTGCGTTAGTGATCCAAAAGCTGCAACAGTGTCAGAAAGTTTTTGATTTTTACGATCCTGTCGCCCAACTCAAAAGTAAAGAGGTGAGTTTTTGAAGGCTTTTGGCTTTTGCTTTTCCAATATTAAATAATCCGAATGTGATGATGCTGAATACGCTGGAGTAGTATTGCATCATTATCG